CCTAAGGAGTACTTTAAAACCAAAATAACGATTTTGTGAAAATTCAAGACCCACGTAACCCTTTAAGTAGTGTTGAGAAAATAATGGTATCTGCATGATAATAAATTTTCATCAAACTTAGATTTGGTATCGTTTTTAGGAAGAGAAGATATTTTGAATTGTCATATTGGTCTTCTTGTACCTTTTTTGTTTGACAACGAATGATTGGTAATGAAAAAAATTTACAACTTATAACGCTCAAATAATGCTCTCTCATGACTCTCTTAGAACAAGTGACTCTTATTTGAATTGGTAATACTTTAAATTAAGAGCTCTGATATTGCTACAAATCTTCAAACTACGACATGTATTTAGTGTATAAAAGCATTGAAACGCATAAAATAGGAAAAATGCCGCATTGCAACCACCACGGAGGAGGGGGTGGCGCAGCGGTTTGTTGTACCTCAATTTGTGCAATTGGCAACAGCCCTTAAATACAAACAGAGGTAAATTTATTGAAACTGCATGTGTAGGCACAAACAACTACACATACATCTGTGTAAGTGTGTATGGCTTTGTGCGGTGGATTTATTGGCGTACACATGTGGCACTAACGGAAATGTTGCACGTAAAGTTTATTTAGTTGTCGGTTTGGTGGACACCATTGTTGATGCTTTCAACTTCATCATGTTGACATCAAATAACAAATTGTAAACTTTCTTGTTATTGTTGTTGCTGTTGTTGTTATTGTAATAGAGCGTTGCTAGTGCCGGCCATTCAGGGTTGTTCTCGTAGCTCAGGGCATCAGTGGCGTACGCGCTGTGTTGTTGCTGTATATTGCATATATTTTTTTTTTAATAGTTTTTCATTGTTTCGTATAACTGTTTTTTGCCGGTGTTCCCTTTGTTGTATTGCAAATGTATTTTTCGTGTTTTCGCCATGATGCAGGCCACAAACTGTTGAGTGAAACAACGACAACAACAACTGCAACAATCAACAGCAGTGGCCACAAGTGCGTTGCAATGTTCGTTATTTATTACACGCACACATACACAGTAATATGCATAAGCGAATATTTATATGCATAAGCTCCATGCACACAACCAAACACATATACAAATCCATACATACAGACGCATATATAGCCAGCAATTATTGCAAAAGACTGAATGGCCGACTAACAATAAATGAAATTCAAACAATGCCGCGCACAATAAACACAAGCGCTTCGGCGGTAAAATCGTCGGTCCCAATCGTGCATGTCCTCGAGTGTTGCATAATTGAAATTTTAACTTCAATTTCCAATGGTCGATGGAGCGGCATAAAAGTTTTGCGCGTCTGTCCGCTTTGAGCCAACATTTGGGCTTAAGTGCCGCAGATTCTGAGGTTTGTACGACCATCGATTCACCGGAAGTAATGTCTTTGTAGAGCAACGAAAAAATTGATAAATCGAAGTAAATAAAAATTAAGTTATTAAAAATAAAGACAAGAGAGGATAAAATATTTCGCAGAGAAGCGAGCGAATGAGTGTTTGTATTTGCGAAACGATATTTTTCGGTCGCCTAACATCAGCTGAATTCGGATTGAAATACTAAGCAACACCCAGCCAAGCACTAGTTGGTGACAGATATTGCACTGTCTCTGAGCTTGATATCCTTGCTTGTCTGTATAAACTTGAAAATGAATTAATATTGTAGCTACCTAGTGGAAAATTAAAAAAAATCTTTTTATTTTATTTTATTTATTTCTTTTGTTTTTTGGTTAAGTTATTCTTTTAAATAACACACTAAAATTTTGAATCGATATTTCGAATATTTTTTTAGTTACAGGCTTCTAAAGTGTAGCCGCTTTGTTCAATCAGATTTTCTTTAAACCCGTTTTTCTCAGAATTAAATTTTTCGAATGGGCTGCACTGATTACTTGGAGTCAAATGGGTTAATGGAGTCAAAATCACTGTCAAATATGATCAAAACTAGAATTTTGCGAGCCAAAAACCACCAAACGGAGAAGGCTTGAATCATATCAGCAGTGAAGGACTGTTTTAGCGCCATCGGAGATCGAGTGTAACTCGAAAAGTATTCAGTTTTTTCTTTAAAAATTTCATTGTATTTTAGGAATTTAAATTGGTATAAAATGTAGCCTTAAACATTTTTTTATGCCGAAAAATCGTATTTTTTTAAGTCGTCACACTATGTGTGTCCCATAAACGATTTGAATGTTAGGAAAGAGGAAGGTTTAGAGAGTACAACAAAGAAACTTGTTTGTAGTCCTTTGTGTAGAACTGTAGGGCATATAAAAAAATATTCAAACGAATAATCCGATAGATGGCGCTGGTTTCAAAATATCGCACAAATCCGCAAAAGAAAGACATTAATGCACGATTCTCATTCGGTCAATTCGTGAACAGGTAGGAAAACAATTCGTGAGTATGAAAAGAATTGTCATTAAGTCAGAGAGCGTGTGCTTGCTGATGGAGTTTATGTCAATGTAAGAATTTTTAAAATTACATATTTTTGAAAGAAAAGAAATTGTAATTTGCAAATGGTAGATGTTGCTATATAAAATACCGTTAAATAGCTTTAGTATTTCAACGTGGAGTTATAAGAGAAGAAATCGATAGTTTGCAAATATTTTCGCAATTGGTTTGAAGTTGATCCAGTAAACAGTTTCATAGCTATGAGCATATATGTAAAAATTTTACGTTTAAACATGTTTTTTTTGAACGCTGTTTTCTCACAAATGGGTGGACTAATCGACTTGACATTTTCACCCTCCTACCACCTTGAACTTCTTTTATGGTATATATTATATTTGTCAGGTAATGTTCGAAGGATTCATAATAATTTCGATTATTAAAAATTTTTTAGGTCTTGGCTATGAAATAATTTTAAGCAGAAAAATTATCTTCACTGCAGGCAACTTTTTATAGTGTAAGCAGTGGTTATAAAAAAAATTAATTAAAATATTGCAAAAAAAAAAAAAATAAACAAACAGTCTTAATAAAAAATCAAATACGAGTACATTTATAGGGTGCAAATTGTCCATATATATTTTTCTTAAGCTACACACCATAATTTTTAAACTCTTAGTATGACTAGGCAAGTAATCTAAGTACTACATTACACAGAATGTTACAAATTTGATAAAGATATTTATACATGTAATTTGATTTTAATATATATATACAATTGCTTTCGAAGTATTTACACAAGCAATAGAAAATTTATAAAAAACTTGAATAAAATAAATTGAAGTTTAAAATAGAAAAATACAAACAAATGCTTAATAATTAAGTTTTCACATGCCAGCAGAGTAAAAAGTAATTACAACAATTATAAAAAAAACTTTTTTGAAGTTAGAATTATATAACTACAAAAATAGCTGAAATGCATGAAAATTTATTATAACTTAAAATATTTTGTGTTTAGTAAATAAATTTTTACAATTTTGATATTTTTTTATTTATTCGAAGTTTGGATATAGGTATAGGTATAGCCATATTTCAGTGGCAAGTTGCAAAAAAACAGCATAAGTTCATTTCGGTCAAGTTCGGTATTTGGACTTCTAGTTAAAATCTGTGATTATGCTTTTAATAAAATTTATTTTTGTTTTGAAGTTTACTTCTTTAAAGCAATGTGTAAAATAAAATACAGTAGAAAGTCGTGAATAAGTCGTTCGGAATATTTAAAATCGATTGATCGATCTAGCTTAAAGCAATTGAAGCTATTTGAAAATATTAAGTCTTGTTTATGTTCATATTGATCGGTTTTTAAATTTTTAGTAAAACAAAAAAAGTATGTGAAACTGATGCTACAATTTACACAATTAAAAAATGTTGTATATAAAAATTTTCGGAATTAAAAAAATTTCGAAAAGTTCGAAAGTTTTCAAAATTAAAGAATTTTTATATAAAAATTTTCATAATTAAAGAACTTTAAAAATTTTCAAGATTTATGTTAAAAAATTATAAATTATAAACAATAAAAATATAAGTTTTGTTAAAAAAATTTCAAAGTTAAATATAATATATTTTTTCAAATTTTAAATTTTCAAATAATTTTAAAAATTAAAGGTATTTAGATTCAAATATTTTAGATTCAAAAAATGTTTCAAAAACAAAAATTTTAACAGTAAGAAAATGTTATTTAAAGCATTTTTTGAAATCAACACTTTTGTTCCATCGAAATTGGTTGAGCAATAAAATATGTTTTTATAAAAATTCTCTTTCAATTCTATTTGCCAATTTTTAGTTAAGTTAAAGTTCGTTCGCTTAAATAAGTGCATAAAATGCTTGCTGCAACTTCTGTGGTTTTTTATGTTGAATTCTCAGCAAATTTGTTGTTGCAAATGAAGTTATAGAATAATTGAATGATTTCGAATCTAGTAAATCAGTGTCTTTACATGTCACAATCTACAACTACTTACTTGTAATAAAATTCTAATGCAACCGCTTCGAAACATTGAATTGCAAATACGAACACAAATACAAATAGAAAACACACAGAAATGTGTAGAGCAAAGTGAAAGCGGAAGGAAGTTAGCGCAAAATATCGAATTGAATAAGTTTTTTACAAAGGTACATATGTACATACAATAAACAAAATCATATACATTTACATAGACATGTATATATATATATATATATACATATACAAAAACAAATAGAAAATAGTAGAAGCAACTTTATTAATTTTTTATTTTACTTTTGCACACACAAATACAAACAAGCGACGAAAAAAGACAGATGGGGAGTGGTAAGAGAAAAGTTGTAGAAGCACTTAAAGCAAATAAAATAGAGAGATTGAAGGAAAATGTGCAAAGTAGTGGAAAAGTTTGAACTAAATCTACTACAACTACAACTAAAACAAAGATTTGCAAACTAAATGTAATAGTAAATACAACACACACACATATACATACAAATACATATTTATCAAATAGAGAGAGAGAGAGAGTAGAGTATAAAACTAATTTTGCAGACTATAGTTTATTAAGTATAGATTTAGGTATTTTTCTCGTACCATTGAGGCTGGGCTGTGCGTACTGTATGAAACCCTCGGAGATGTAATGGTGTTGAGTGCCCGTTGTGCTGGCGCTGCAGCGCGGCCCCAGCGTCGAGGGCAGCACGCGTGCGGCACGTATGTCGGCGGAGCGTGTACTGGCCAGCGCCTCTTCGTCATTCAGCGCGTCCTCCTCAATGTACATGGACGGCACATCACTGCGGGCAGGTCTGAAAAATACAACAAAAAAAAAATATATATAATATATATATTAGTTTAGAGATAGGCAACGTATTTTATTACATCACAAAAAATTTTTTGTGAGAGCATAAATTTCATATTTCAGCTTAAAGTTAATAAAGTTTGAAAGCGAAATTTAGGTGGAATTAATTGCTATATTTTGACAAAAAAATGTTTAATTTCGATTATTTTTCGAAACTTGCTCTATTATTCGGCCTCCAAACTTTTTACCACCAATAATTTTTATGATCATTAGCCCATTTCTTCAATTATATAAAGTCGTAAATGTGGGAGTAATGCGCCAACGAATAAATTTCATCGCATTTTAAAGCAGAATACCATTAAATAAATATTTATAGCAATTTGTTTTCTTTGACTTTAGAACCTTCTGCTGATACTCAATTCTCGTAACCATTGGCACAGTTCTTAAGGTACCTACTGGCAAAGAGTGGCAAGGATGGCGTAAAAAAATCGTCATCTAATCAGTTTTGTCTCTCTGACCACTCACAAGCCACCTATGAGAGTTGACCTTTTCCAAGAACATCTTTTTCAGTAACAACAAATATAGAACCAGTTTAAAAGACCTTAAAAAGATCATCAGTTATCGTGAGAGATGTTATATGAGAGAGAATATGGATTTAACATATGATCAGGAAATGATCATATTTGACTTCGATCCCCTTCAACCAGATAAGCCTGCTAATAAGACTAAGCATTCTGCTAAGATGTAAGTTTGAATTCATGATGAATTGTCTATCGTAACAAAACTCGTCTGACACATAAGCGCTTGGGTTTGGTGTGACCCAATAGCGTGCATAGATAAGCCCATAGTCTCAGTGCTTTGTTTCAGAATTGAGATTTGCATGCTTCTGCATTTTACATGTGTTTGAGTGAATGAGGTACATTTAACTAATTATTATTTTCCTTATATCAGGAATCCCATTCGAGTTCTGTCATAATTCAAATAGAATTAACTAGGTAAAATTTTAACTTCGGTTGCACCGATGCTATAATATCCTTCGCAAATACAAAAGATTTGTTACAAAAAGTTTTTAGATTGTTTTGATGGCAGCTGTATGCTATAGTTATCTGATCTGAACAATTTTTGGCAGATTGTATTATTGCCGCAGAGAATAGTATATGCCAAATTTCCTGAATATATCTCGTCAAATTAAAAGCACTTGATTCCGATCGTTCAGTTTGTATGGCAGCTGTAAGCTATAGTGGTCTGATTTCGGTGGGTCAGACATATGAGCAGCTACTTGGGAAGAAAAGAACGTATGCAAGATTTCAGATCGATATCTCAAAAATTGAAGACCTAGTTCGCGTATATACAGACAGACGGAGAGACAGTCGGACATCGCTAAATCGACTAAGTTCGTCACGCTGATCATGTAGATATATAATTTATAGGGTCTCCGGCGTTTCCTTCTTGGTGTTACTAATATCATGTTAAATTTAATATACCCTATTGAGGGTATAAAAATCGTGTACTTATAGTTAAGTTGTTATTATCAACTGTAATGAGATTATACCCTTCTCGCTTAAATTGCATACGTATAGCAGATTTGCGGTTATATTTAGCAAACTTTTAGGCTACAATTTCAAAAAAATAAGTAAATTTTTTTTGGTTTTTTGTAAATTGTTACTACAGTTACAACTGTATATCACACCTGATTTTTTTTATTATATATTGATATCATAAAATATATCTTTGCTTTGGAGAGAAACTAAAATTATTCTGTAGAAACTTGAATTAAACGTTGAATTTTGTAATTTGATGAAAACCGTTGCTAAAAAACGCAGCAAAGTTATGAAGTTTAAATTTCAGTTATAAAACTACCATACAAGTTCTGCACTATCACTGTTAAAATAATAAATGCAACGCAGTGGCTTTATTTGTGAAACTTTGGCAACTCAATCGACAAACAATGTACATAGTCGATTTTTAAGTTCATTTTCGTTTTTAGTTATGTTGTTATTGCCATTGTATAATGTAACCGAAAACAATGCGCAATAATATCTTAAATAAAGCAGAAATATTTGTATAAATTACTTGGGCATTTATGACCGCATCGTTAAAATGAAATAAAAATTTAATAAACAAACAAAGGCAAGAGCAAAACGGTAGTGCAAACAATGCAATATTCATATTTTTAGATACGCATGCGGTTAAAAGCAAAAATGTATCATATATTGGAAAAATGCGTGTGTGTGCGATTCCCGGTTCATTGATAGCGGCGCATTGTGATTTAAATTCATTGATTGTTCCACCAGCAATCTCGTTTTTTGTTATTACATTTTTTTACGCGTTAAGTTTTATTTATTTTCTCTTTCGGAATTATTTAAATTCTTTGTTATTATTGTTGAAGGCGCAGCCACTTGAAAAATATTGCATACTTTTGTGCGCATGACGCCCGTTGGAAAGGCAACTAGAGAATTTTCGATGTAGGTTTGAGAATTAATTCGCTAGTTTAAAGAAAATTTCTTTTTGACTCGTTAAAATTTTTAAAAATAGGTTGTATAAATATTAGTAAACTGTTCAAAAAAAGTAAATGAATATTGAAAAATAGAGTGAGCCAGTAAGACTCACTCTATTAGGCCCAATTGTGCGTTCGTAGAGTTTATAAAAGATGTCTTAAAATCAAGTGACATATATTTAAAAGCATATCCTTAGACACATCCCAAACGAGATACATTGCTAGAAGATCTAAAGGCTCTACAAAATATGGTGACTTCTCAAAAAATCTAAATTATAGGCGTGTTATAAAATTTAATACTTTTGAACTTCATCCAAACAAAAAATATGTATTATTCAAAGAATCTTTTCATAACAAAATTCAGCAATAATTTGAAACTAATTTTTATTTTATTTTAAATACTTCGCCAAAACTTTTTATTTAATTATCTTATTTCAAAAGTCTCATCAAAAAAAAAAAAAATTAAAAAAAAAATCTTTTATAGTCCACTCAAAATTTCCTAACTAGAATTTGTACATTTTTGAAAACCGCACACTTTATTACAAGCGTCGAAATTCGTTGCGGAAATCGAAACGAAAAACAATAACAAGAAAACCAACTGCGGTGGACGGTTAATGCAATAAAAACTTTGCTGCATGCCATAAACAATAGAATGAATGAAAAGACAAAAGCGACAATAAAAACAACAAAAAAAAAAAAAGAAAATCAAGCTGACGATTTCCGTTATGTTGCGGCGGTAGCAATCGTCAATAGCGAAACGGGAACCGTGGCATGTCCTGTTTACATTTCGACTATTTCGGTGTGCCGTGACTGCGTACACACGTGTGTTTTTTGTTGCAAAACAACAGTGGCGCTAACACACTGGCATTCACACCCACATTTGTGTGACACTGTATAAAATTCATGTGTGTGTGACTGCGTAAACAAACACAATGCAAACATCAATACAATACTCACATCCGACAGTTATTTGAGCTGGAAAAATTATGAAACCACACAAACGAGCATACAGACAAATTCATTTATAACGGCGAGTACGCTTAGAGTGGTCTACAGTGCCAGCGACACAAATTTTATAAAAGTCTAGTATTCCTTAGGCAGTTTTATGCTTAACGTTATTATTCTCGTTTTCTATGTGAAGTTTCTTTTTATAATGCATAAAAATGTTGTTATGTCTGTCTAAATCTTCTCAGGGGCCTTTACAAAAAAATTTCAAAATATTACTTTCAAGAAAAAGGCGCCTGAAAATGAACTGATGGAGCTGTTTGAGCAGGGCGGTTACACTTACTTAAAAAAAAATTGAAATACTCGATTAACATGTTAGTATGGTTTATTTAAATGTATAGACTTTCAAAATATGCATTAAATAAAAAATTATTATTTTTGTTTTAATCTTACATTTAGTGTTTCCTGAAAATTTTCCAAGCGATCAGAGTTGGTTTAACAAAATTTTGTAGTTATTTGTCCATCCTTAAAGCTCTTTCTTTTAAGTACAAATGTGTAGCCTTTCAATTTAGTAACTATCAGAAAGATATATTCGATAGCTCTGTTTCCAAGAAATTTTGCCATCTACTGCCTACCGAATCAGGGGAAATCTACTCGTAGATTGTAAAAAGCCAGATCTGTCCTGCGAAACTAGTAGTTCACATAATTCTATGTTAAACGTTCCGCAGGACAATAGACTCTCAATCAATTTATTTATAAATATGCACGATGCATTATGTGGAGAAAAAATTTTATAAGTCAAAGGTTTTTTGTAAAACTAAAAAAAAGAAAGAATCTTACTCAACTGTACATAACACTCTGAAAACCTTAAGGTAGTAATACGGATAAAGTTCAATCTGAAATGAGCTTGCAAATAGTTGCTTATTGTTGCTTCGAGGTTGCAAATAGCCTTAATGCATTTTTGGCAGTTTATTATACCTACTTTTATAAATTTATAATTTTAACGCGTTTGTAGTTTTTTAGGGATTTACCAGCGATCAAAACTACTATTTGGTCATAAAAAATTTTCAAATTCTTTATACTACTTCTCACACTGTTCAAAAGTTATGGAATTGTTTAAACGAAAACAGCTTTTTATCCTACGCAACGAATAAAAAATTAATTTCAATGAACATTGGAAATCGCCTCGTTCAGTGTGGTCCAGTCCGTCTTTAATTTCCAAATATTATGAAAATATGTTGTGTTGTTGTAGTGGCAGAAAAAAACATTATTCAAATATTTTTGGGGTGACCTTTAACCTCAGCCATCTCAGAAGTTCTCCTCATTATATGTTTTGCTGTAACATCAGTTCATAAACTCAACTATTTTTTGTATATGATGGCCTACTTGTAAAACTAGAACATTTGAAGTTTTCTAAATCGATTTTGAATTTCATTTCGATTGATCTTTAAATCTTATACATACATAGTTTTCTGTCACAATCTTCATGACATTAATTTTTTTCATTATTTGTTAAACAGTTTAACAGTTTGGTCTTTAATTCATATTTATGGTGGTATATACGC